TTGGAGACAGGGTCTCTTACTGGCCAGAATCTTTCCAATTAGTTTTGACTAGCTGGCAAGCAAGCTCCAGAAATCTACTTGTCTACCTTTCTTCAGCACAGGGATTCAAAGTATCCACTACCATGACTGGAATTTTTATGTGATTTCTGGGGATTGAATTTAGAGCATCTGGCCTGGGCTTTACTAATCTAGCTATCTGTCCAGCCCTCAAATAGATGAAAACATCACTTGGTTTTCAATTTATCTCAAGAAGTATTTAATCTTTGCATTCTAAGTTTTGGGTGAAGGGATGGGAGTGTATGAGAGATACTGCTTTGCTTATTTTATTGCTTTGATGGTTTTTGCTTCTTGCTCTTGCTCTTAGCATCTTACTTTGAACTCATTCAGAAATTTTGTTATCAGCCCTATTCTTTTAGCACTTTCTAGTTTCCAAACATTTCACATGATATCATTTATTACAAGTGATTTGGTAACAACAAAACCGAATCCACCATGAAATCAAACCATATTCTCACCAGTGCTGCTTATAACCTGCCAGAATGTTCATGCTTCAAACCATAATTCTAGTTACACTGGCTTTCAGGGGTGCCTCTCCACACTTTTGTGATGTGCTGGGCCTTCTAGGTACAGTTCCAAGGTATAGTACATAGTCATTCCTTCTATTACAACGTATAATGACTATGAAATGACATTGTTCCACCTTTCTGATTCACCTGCCAATGTTATATAGAGACCACATAGATTAACACCTAAATTGGAAATATTCATTAGTGACACTGATTACTAATGAATTACTTCAAATATTTTGTACCTTCCTACTTGACCACCCAAGGTTTAAAGCTCCCTTTTCCTTGCTAGGTGCCGAACTTTTTCATTAACACACTAGCCTTCAAAGCACGGGATTGCATTGGCAATCTGTCCTGTGTGGTTGCTTTGGGACAACTTTGTAGATTCTGATATTTCCTGTGCTTGCTGGAATAACTGCCACAAAGAACAATGGGAGTTGAGTTGCTAAAATAGTTTTTAAAATGTATTACTGCCTTAAACATATGTTTGTAAGATAAAACTTGTTATAAGCTTAACTTTGAGTAAATATTATGAAGAAAAAAATTCTTAAAAGGCTTTTCCTACATACTACTTAAATGAGAAAAAAATTCAGAAATTCAAACATAGCAAGCTCCATTTGCTCAGCGATGAGGTACTTGCACCAGGTTCCCCATGGCCTTTGGTGTACAATTTTTTTTAAAAAGAAAACTACTTCTAAGGTATTGATTTGACATTAAAGTTTGTTTATTGAAAATAACTAGTGAACTTAAGAAAGTAATTTGAATTGTAAACACTCAAGGATAAGCCAGTTTTAGGATCACATTATGGTGTCACAGTAACAGCAATGTGAGTCACATTTAATTTGTAGACTCAGGTTCTCCTATAATCTCAACACTGAGCCACTACACACTTGATAGAAGCCATAAGGAAAATCCAAATCTTCCTTTCTGGCACAAAGTTTCCAGGAAATGATGTACTATAAGGAAATCACACGAAGTCAGCTGCTTTCTGTTTTGGTTAACCAGGTAGTTTAAAAATCATTATCCCACTAGCAAAGTCTTCAGACTTTAGAAACAGAACTAGAGGACTCACTGAGGTATACTTTGTGGTTGGTTCTGCAGCTTTTTCTCTTGCCCCAGAACTAACCATGGCATTGAGGATGGATAGGTATAAATCATGCTTTCTTATCAGGTAGCGGTTACCATAGGTGAACAACTATCACCTATTTTTTTGGCGTCTATAAAATATTTGGGTATGGACTAGCATGAATTTCACTATTCCAATTTTGTAGACTTTTATATCCAATGAATGTTATCTTTTAAAGACTTATGATTTACTTGCCTACAACAAATGACTAAATTTGAGATTATTGCTTGATTACTTTCATTTCTGTTTGTAGTGATAGAAATGTGAGAATGTATTAGCTATCAATGTTCTTTTCATTTTGCCACATTGTTTTGTTTAATAACTGGAAGGGCATTTTATATAGTTTAATATACGACTGGGAAATATTCGGTGCTGTCTGATGGTAATAGTATTGGCTAGATAATAAACTTCAGAACTCAGCCAATCATGGGAACAGAATTTGACGCCTACTTTGAAGTATTGAAAAAAATCTTTCTACAGTACATGTGTATTGGAGTTCAGTCCTGTATTCAAATTGGTAAATATATTGTTTGGTAGATTGTAAAAATGGCTATTGCACACCTTTGGGGCTTCAGGAAAGGGGAAGCAAACATGTGAGGTTTTCTTCTTTCCTTCTAATATGGAGAAAACCAGTTGAACAAGGGGTAGAAAAAAATCACAGTTGGTCTCCAACTGTGGATTCATTGTGAAAAAGAACTGGATGACATAACCCCCTTGATTACTGCAATTTTCCTTGTACATGCAGGTTGTTCAACCTTAGTCTGGGCAATAAAAATCATTAGGTTTCTGTGTCTTAATCTAACATTTGCTTGGAAATTACATATTTATTGTTTTTTTTAAAGCTTACTTAGGGCCAATTCAATTGTAGTGTAATTTATAACAGGTTTCTTTACTCCATGTTGTAAATCTGAATACAGATACTGTCCAAACTGTCCTAAGAGTAATGTCTGAATTCACAGTAACAAAAGTTACAAAGTTAGTGCAAAAGATATTGTACACCATTGGAGTACATAGAGCTTGCTATAGTTAACTTTAGTTATAAAGCTGAATTTCTCATTGAAACTATTATGTGCTACATTAAAAGCCTCTGGTTAAAGTGTTTCTAATGGTAAAACTGAAATGTTAGGATGCAATTGCATGTATGTGATGGATGCAAATGTAGGAAATCATCGGGACCATTTAAACAGCATAACTTCTTTGGAGCTCTTCAAGTTTTCCAAGGGTCATAAAGTAAACCCGGCTGTGGTGATTGTTCAGTATGGAAGTAAAGAACAGCTTTAAAAAAGAGAGAAAAGCATTATCAGTGAATTTGTAATCCATTTTAGCTAGATAATTCATAAACAAAAGTGTACAGTAATAAAAGTATGATTTGGTATAATTAAAATATTAAGCCATCTTGTTTGGAACAACTTTGCTCTATTTTAAGGAATATAAATTTGATTAGTTTGGAATTTACATTACATATTTCACAGCAACCCTCTCACCATAGTCTATGTAATTAGTTTGGCTTTGTTTTTACTTTTAAAATCTGTCCTTTGAGACTTTCGTCCATCCACACAATGAATTATGATCACATGATCACTTGGTCAATTCCCTCCGGACCCCCTCAACATGTTCCCTCCCATCTTCATGTTCTCTTTTTAAAAATTATAACCCACTTGGGCCAAGCAGTGCTGACCATATGGGCACAGGTGGAAGGCCATGTACAGAACATTGGAAGCTACCAGTGCCCTCCACAAAGAATAATGATTTTTCTTCCCTTAGTGACTACTATATTTATTGTAGGTAGTTTTCACCAGCTGAAGTTGCTTATTAGTTTTGGTTAACAACACTTTATTTTAGTTGAGCAAAGGTGACACCAATGGACATGCCACATTGGATTGGGGAAATCTCACAAGACCTCAACTCTACACACAAAACTACAGGCAATGGAGGAAAGCTGGGAGCTGGGATCAGGAGAGGTGGTCTTCCCCAGGGAAGAGCACACCAATTAGCTGTCCAGTGCCAAAAGGTCAGCCATGGATATCTATATACACACAACAGTATGTGGAATAAACAGGTTATATTTAGGAATATATGTGTATACATATATGCATTGCAATAACAATTACTGAAAAAGGGACTATGAATTTGAATGACTGGGATGAGTATACTGGAGAATTTGTAGGGAAGAAAGGGGATTAAATTTTCTACTTTATATGATGTCAAGTCATTTCACTGAAATAAAAAAGAAAATTTCTATATCTTCTTAAATATAAGCAGAAGTGTCAAGTGACGGAAAAAATGTTTTCTTGCATTAAAAAATTTTGAATTAGAATAAATTTGTTTTTATTTTTTGAGATTATAATTGAATTGCAACATTTCCTCCTTTCCTTGGTACAATGTGTTAAACCCAATGGGATAGAGAGGAACATGTATGAACATGTGTTTTTCCATAATAAGGAAAATCAGAACAGAGCACAGACATAAATATCAAAAAGAAGACAAAGATTTTTTACACCATCAAAAGTTATACTTAGTAGGCTATTCTGATGGTGATGAGTGTAAAATAAATCAACTACCCTTAACACATTTTATGTGCCAAGTCCTCTCTAACATGCTTACTGCACACATATTATGTAAAATTTTTACCTTTGCTCATCCAAAAGTTATTAATTGTTCCACCTTAGAGATAAAGGGATTAAGTGGTTTTTTTATTTTTAAATATTAAACAAGGGTTGGTAATGTGGCCCAATTGTACAGTGTTTGCATGGCACATGTGTGCAGTCCAGGGTTCCATGCCCAGAATTCTCCCATCCCCTGACAAAAGAAAAATACTAAAGATCCATTAAACTTCTCTGGTTCTCACATCTTGTTAGGTGACAGAGCCAGAACTGCAACCCCAAACTCTGACCTCAAACTCTGGTTCTTAGCATTACATTGCAAAATTGGGCAACTTTCCTTGACATGAAGTGATTTTGCCATGATTTCTCTTATATTAGCTTGAATTCTGTGTAATCCTTAATCATGATGCTTAATCCTATTATTTCTTTCAAGTATTATTTCTTAATATACTAACTTAGGTGATAAACTTTCCTACCTAGCTATTTTAATAGTTAACACTGATCAAATTTCACAGAAAATTTCCAAGTCTCAATTTTAGTTTTCTTTCCTGTAAAATAGTCATCATTATAACTATGTGTGAGGATAAATTTAGACAGCTTCTAAAATAGCAAGCATAAAGCCTAACATATAATTATATATTCAACAACATTGGTCAGAACCCTAATAAAATTCCCATGTATTCTGTCTCTCACATATCTTGGTATGTATCATAGGAATGGTACCAGCCTACCCAAGATATCCATATGCCATGGTTATTGGAGCACTATCTGCAATAACTTTTGAGTCAATCTAGGTACCTGTTAATCAATGAATAGACAAAAACAAAACAAAACCCCAAATCATTCATTTGCAGCAAAATACGTAGAAGTAGAGAACTTATGCTATCAAAATAAGCTAAAAAGAAAACATTAATGATTTCTTTCATATATCAAAGCTAAAAGAAATCCATGTAGAGACTAGGAATGAC